AGTTTCAAGTCCTGATTCCAAGTTTTACCCAGTCAATTGGACAGTTGACCTATAAATCAGCTGTATTGGGGAAAAAGTCAACTGTGGCCAATTGACAGTCAAATCTCATGAAAATTGACCCACATCAACATTATGAACTCATATGGACCATTTGATCAAGTTTGGATCACAATTCCACAAGAAATTTGATCAGATCATCAAAAGGGCAAAATGGTCATTTTTAGGGTTTTGATTGCACAAAGGCAATTTTTGACTGTTGACCTAGCCAATGGCAAACCAAGATCACATATGGACTCAAGGACCCCATGGAATTGTCTTGACATTCTCAACAAGCTCAAAAGATCCCAAGTACACAAGATTGACAGTTGAATTTCCCGGTCAATTGATCAATTTTGACTGTATACTGAAAAGCCAAACTTTGACTTTTTGGTCAAAATCAAGAGTCAAGATTCATTTTTCATCAAAACATGCCAAATCATGAAACTTGTTCACCAAGAAACCAAGAAATGCAAATTAGGGTTTGAAATGGAATTTTTCATAACTTAGAATTTTTCTAAGTTATGGAAAACCCTAATTTTTTCCCAACTTTGCCCCACTTTTTCACCAAGATTCATTTGGATTCAAACAAAAGTCAAAACATGAAAGTTGTAGCTTGTTGCATAATCTACAACTTTGATTCACAAAGTTTTCCCATTTGAAGCTTGTATCTCAAGTTACAAATTTTTGAATAAGGGCACTAAACCATTTTAACTTAGTGAAAATTTGACCTATTTTGGACAAGTTTTTACCTAACTTCAAGACCATTTTCCATACACTTCCACTTGGAATTTCAATTTGCATTTTAAATATAGATTGTAGTACACATTCCAAGCTTTCCAAAATATCCAAGAACTCATCAAACAACCACATAACTTGAGAGATTCGAATTTCACAATTTGGCAAAAACTCACTTTTGAATTGGCCATTTTTCATGTTCATAATTTGTGCAAACTTCTCAAAACCAGCATGCCCTTGATTACAGGTCCTAAAACCATCCAACACTCAATAATTTAATGCATGTTCATTGTGCTAAGACCTTGTTTCATGAGCTAAAGCATTGTATGATGGATTAATCCCAAATTGGAAAAAGCATTATATCCATTTTTGCAAAAGTTATACTTTATGTCAATTGGTAAATCAAGAAGGTACAGATCAAATCTCTTTAGCACAAGATTATGAGCATAACACACTGATCAAGGAGGGATTATGCAGCACATTAGGGGGTCCTCTACATGCCTAGAAACACAAGTTGGCTTTTGTTGCTTAAAAAAGAAGAAAAGTGTCATAACATCACACAACTCTCATATCAGCTTAGGCACACTTAGACAAACTTATCAAACACATTCCAAAGATCAGAACCAAGCTTTTGCACGACCCTAGCACCTCTCAAACACTCCCCTTGCCATAATCACTCTCAAACTGCAAAAACAGGGCAAGGCCTGCAGTTTGAGGGCTATCTTTCATTTCTCTCAAGCTTTCTTGCCCAAACCAGTTCACATACCTTCCTTACCATCTATGCAAACTATCCAAAAGCAAAAACACGATCTGTAACATCTCCAAGCCACTTCACCATTTTTATTTTTCTGTTTTGCAGTTTAAGTTCTCTAGCACGATTCAGGGAGTTTCAAGACAAAGTAGGACTTGGAATAGCATCCTTACACTTCAAGGAAGCTATACAAATCATCATCTTGCTCTGAAAACTCCTCCATTGCAAAGCACGATTCCAACTGAACAGGTATCTTCATGAAGTTCTATCTCTCTTATTAGGCATTGTTAGCTTTAGGTTTGTGAAGAAAATATGTCACAATCATGGCCCTGAACATGCCCATATAATTAGATTTCATTTATATTATGTGTGCTGCAAGAATTTTGAGTCTGAACATGGCATAAAAGTTAGGTCAGAAATTGGGGGAGAAGAAATTCTCCCTCATCTTAGAGAGTTAAGTCAAGTTCTTTACATGGTTGAATTCGTCTTCTCATGCTCTACACTTTTCATGTTATGAGTTTTGCTTGAAAGTCCAGGAATCAAGAGATAGAAAACGCGTGCTTGCTTGAGTGATGTTGTTCAGAGGTTGAAGATGACTGGTTCTGGGCTGGGCCTGGAATATTTTTCTTATTTGCACCACATAATTGCTTCTGAACCCCCTGAGCCCATTTTGCTTATTTCTTTGACTTTTTGACTTTTTCTTTTTTTTGATTGACTTGTTTATTTTTTCTCATGACATTAAAAATATAAAAATATTTTTTCTCACCATTTTTGATTTTATTAGGCATTTATTTAATTTTCTTTTAGTTTATACATAAATAGGTAAATATATATATTTTGTTTAAAATACTAAAAAAATAGTACAAATGCATTTCTATACATTTTTATTTTTGTTTTACTTTCTGAAAATATTTTATAGAAAAAATTACTTTTTTTATTAAATATTAAATATTATTATTTTTATATAATATACATATTTAGAACTTAATACATAAATATATATATTTATTAATATACTTAGAATAAAATACTAAAAATATACATATTTTATTTTATTAATATTAAACACTAAAAAATCATTTTTTACAAATATACTTTATCTTTATTTTATTTGTACATAATAAATAAATACTTGTATTAAATTAAATAATAATACATTTCATTTAATAAAAATTAGGGTTTTGCCCTAAATTCAAAAATACTCCAAAAAATAATATCTTTTTATTTTCTTTTTATTTTACATAAATAATACTTTTTTCATACATATAAAAAACTCTTTTTTGCATTCTTGCATATTTGTTCTATTTCTATTTTATTTATGCAATTAAATTATCTTGTAAATAGTTCAAATCTTGATGTAATAGTTTTAGGTTTAAATTCCTTGTCAAAATCCCCATTTGAAACATTGTACCCCCCCTATATTATTGTGTTGTAATAGCGTAGGAGTTTAAATTTCGCACTTTATCGCTTTCTAAATATACAATGCTAAAATTAGGGTTTATATGCGAATAAAATGAACAAAATAGTTATGACCTAATCTCAAGACAAACAAGCATGAAAATGGACACACAAATCACACTTGCACCCCCTAGGGTATTCCACTTTGTTGCCTTCAAATAAATGGGCCATATTGCATGTTAGGTCTCTTTGGGCAAAACAAACAAATCAAATGATCATAGTCCCTCGATGACGCTTTCAAAATGTTGCCTAAACAAATGATCAAGTCCCTTAAAGAAAATGCCCAAAGATACTTGGCACCGTTGCAATTATGGTCTAAACGATGACCCGCGCCCGTCCCTTTCACATCCTAACATGAGATTGTCCACCAAATACAATGGTGGAACAAACTTATTAAAAGGGTTAAAACATAGCAATAAACTTTGAGAAATTTAGGAGTGGATAACCTCTTAGTTACTTGAATCAAACTTGCAAAACAAAACACTTGCCTATTTTCTAAAAACACACCTCACAACACTTTCAAAACAATCTTCAAAAACAAATGAAAACCTTTTCAAAAGACATACACCTTTGCATACATCCCACCATTTCAAATAATTGAAAACAAAAGGCAAGTGATCTAAGCAAGTAACTAAGAGCCCATGGATAACCATGGATAGAAAGGGTGCTAATACCTTCCCTTTCTATAATCTACTCCCCGAACCCAAGAAAAATCTCAAAGGTTTTTGCTGTGCTTTTTAAACCTTTCCTTAGGATAAAATAAAAAGTCGGTGGCGACTCTTGCTCAACCGAAACATTTGCGAAAACAAACGCAAAACACTAGTCAGTTCTCCCACCGTATCACACCCTCCAATACGAATGTGCGAGACCTGCATATTCTTGCATCATTCAATTGAAAGGTAATTAAATAGGGGAAATTGTCATACCCCAAATTTTCCTGCCCTTAGTGCTACTGTCAAATATATTTTTGAACTTGGGTTTTGAAATCCCTTTGGTTTAATTACATTAATATTTTGGGGTTTTTAAAATATTCGCTTCCAAATCTATTTTAAAATATAATGAGTTATTTCATATCATTTTTATTTTTTGAATAAACAAATACTTGACCTTCTTCATGAACTTTCAATTGGCTTTTTATTTCGAATAAGTGATATAGCACAGTTGGTAAGGAATTAAGCTTGCAAGTATGAGGTCACGAGTTTGAATCTTGTGTGTTGTACTTTTTAACATTTCTTTCCTTTTGTTTGTTACTAATTTTCTTTCCTTTTGTGGAGATCAAACTTTGGGCTTCTCTTGGGTTTTTGGATAACTTACTCCCTGAGTTTTTTTAACCTAATTTTAAGTCTATAAATAGGACTCATTGTTGTCCTAGTTTCTCATCAAGAAATCCACAAATTCCCAGACACACAATTCATCCATAATTCATCAAACAAATCAACAACTTCACAATCATCAGAAATTCATTTTTTTTTTGTTTTGGTTTATTACAGGGTTTCTAAACAGAAACCCTGTAGTTGTCTATATCAAACAATAACTCACAAATGACCAATAATTTCATATGAGACCTCCCTTGTTATTTCTTTAATTTTTGTCTTTTTTTAATTTTAATTTATTTATTATTTTTACCATATGATGATAATTACCTGATGGCTCTTATTTTTAGTGTTGTATATAAACATTGTACATAACACAAATCCACCTAAATCAGGATATTATTTATATTTTGGAGCTAAATTATTTTTCATCATGAAAAAACCTATTTTTCAGAAAGACTATTTTTTAATCATATATGTATCCTACGTTATTACTATTTTTTTAATAGCATTAATTCCTTTATCTCATTAATTCCTTTCAACCTCTAAACCTTCAACATGTAAAAATCATTATAACCTGTAACTTTTATTCACACTAACAAAAACTCACAAGCTATGTATTTTAATCACAATATCATCACTGGTCAGCCACCAATACAACAATCAATTTCACAATCTCAAACCTTCAACAATCTCATCCATAATCAATACCAAATCAAACTTGAAAAATAACATACAAAAAAACTTTGACAAAATTCGCGACACCACAACTTTTTGTGCTTGTTATTGACTTGGTTTTGCAGGTGGCTGATTGAGATGGTGATTGTTTCATCTGAAAGATCTAGAACAAAGCACAATAGAAACATAAGTAGAGGAGAGTTCAATGAAAAAGCTAAAGTTTCCACTTCCCACATCTCCAACCGCCCACCACGGCGAAGACAACACCATACTACAATCACCGACGAAAAGCTTCCACAGACCGCGCATAGAACCACGTGCACTGCAAGATCCAACACCGTAGCTCTATCGGCGCAACAACAACAATAGTGTTCACACCACATGGCTACTCCGATTACCGCCCAGTAACCTCCGACCATGTATCAACCCACCTCGACAAACAACGTGAACCCTCTACTCGGATCTGACACACACAGATATGCGGATCCTTCTGTTCGAGATTCAGCTCCACAAAACTTGCAGCAACCGCAACCACTGGCTAGCCAAAACCATCGTCCAAATGTCACCAGAGCAGCTCGCGATGGCCTTCTCCAGCGACCGAAAACAATTCTAAACCACCACCAATTTCCTCCGTAATGCTCCGACGAGTCATCATCCGATCTGACAATCCGAACCTAACATCGGATCGCACTGCTACCAAAAACCACTAGCTGAAATGACACATTCAAGAGTTCTAGGGATCTTCGGTCAAGTTTGATATTTGAACTTGTGAGTGAATCAAGCGTTGTGTGCTGCTATTTGAAATTGTGGTGCTACAAATGGAGAAGATTCTTCTATCAGGTTTGTTTAATTTTTTGTTGTTGTCTTTTTATATAAAATGCTAGCAAGTGTAAGCTTCTGATTGGATGAGTAATTGTTTTGAAATTAAGAGAACATTAAGAATAGGGCCGCCTCCCCTGATGCTGTTATTTGTTTTTATTTTTGTTATCAGTTTTGATAAATTAGATTAGGGTTAAGGTGGGCCTTGGGCCAATAAATTTGATGTTGATTTTTTATGTCTACTTCTACTTAGCATAAGCATTGCAACATGCACCCCTTGGTCTGTTATAGTGTAATTTATTTTAGTTTCACTTTTTATTTAGTTTAATTTAATTGATTTAGCAAAAATTTAACTTATTTAGTTAGGTTTTTATTATGAGGTTATTTATTGCTTGTTTATCCATAAAAATGTAAAGTAACAGTAATTAACTTGTACACAATTTTAGAATCTCCCGATTAAATCTCAACATGTACATAAATTAAATAATTTTCACAATCAAAGTAAATTCAACATATTTATAAAAGGATTGGTGGATTTTACATCCACCATATCCTCGAATAATCGATTGGTCAACTTAACGTTTGCTAATTAATTATTCAAAATCAATAATTAAAATCCATGCAACTCACTCAATACACCACCCGCGAACAACACGTGGCCAATATAAGGCCACGTGATGAGGAGACTATATCATACTCTCCCGCTCTATGTCTTATCATACTCGTTATTCAATTCAAAACTCAAAACAACTACTAACAATTCAAACATTTTTTAACTAACATAATTAAATTCAAGAACACTTTCGAGAAATGATTAAGGAGAATTTTTATCGAAGTTAACTGCGAATTGTATCTATGATCACTCAACTTACAACCCAGAAAAGGTTCAAGAATAATTCAAAATCAATTCTACGCAATCCTATAAAAAAACACCAACCAAACACTACAAACTACGAATTGGGACTCTGATTCCTCATAAGAGGATACGTAGGCATACGACTAAAATCGTGGTGAGTTTCCATAATAAAATATTAAAACCCTGTTTCTTAAATATTGTACTTTTAACCCTAGTATCCTTGTGAACAAGGTATATTAGGGGTGCCTAGCACATTCCCTTTATCTAAAACCGAGTAAAAAAACCTAGAATCTCTAACTTTTTAGGGTTATCCTTTATATTCCCTTCCTTAGGATAAAAATTAAGGGTGGCGACTCTATATTTAAAAACTAGTTACAACATAAGTGAACCACTCGGGTTGTGAGATGGTCACTGTGATTTCCTCGAAGCTGTGAAGTAAGAGTGAGTATTGTTCTTGGAGGAAACTGTAAAAAACTCCAAGTTGTATTCTTAGTCAAGAGTCTTGGCTAGGAATTATCATGGAAGTGAGTCTTTTGGTTTATTATCATGGAAGTGTGTCTTTCGAATTGTGTTGATCTAATCGATGTCTGTGATTGAAGAGGGATTGTGGAGGGCCTCATATCTAGGTGAGTCTTAAATAGAAATCTAGCAAGGGTAGTGATTAAGTGATTAGGTTGTACACTGGAGGTTTGTTGTAGGGTCTTTGAATTAATACTATTTTAGTGGATTTGTCCTTGGCTTGGTATACCCCTAGAGTAGGAGAGTTTCTCTGAACTGGGTTAACAATTCTGGTGTGTTGTTTATGCTTTTCAATACTGTTTTTAATGTTTATACCTTGCATGTTTGTTTATGTCAGATCAGATGTCTTATCATGTCATAGGACATCTCAATTCTGTTATACCAGAATTTCAAATGGTGTTAAATAAACATTTATGTCGTTCCCTAGTTATCTTGGACCCAAAATCATTATTGATAACATCATGTAATTATGCTTCATGCACAACCATGGAGATAGGTTATAAATTACGAGAATAACATGCCATGCCGTATGATTAGTACTCAAATTACCAAAAGGGTTCACTCCATCAGTGGCAAGTCCAAGCCCTAGGTTCCTCGGTTCAAGGTCAAAATATGGAAACAAAGAATCAATTTTCTTCCATTGCAATGAATCAACTACATGGCAAATTTTTTCATCACACACTCTTTCATCTACATGCCATCTAGTATTATTTTCATCATTAACATTAGAAAACAATCTCTTTAATCTTGGAATTATCGGTATGTACCGTATCAACTTGGAAGGAACACCTTTGCTAGTCATACCATCATTGTCATCAACAACATTGTCCTTCTGCATGTAGTGTGACTCCCCACACCCCGGCCACTCATTAAAATTTTTAAACTTTTTCATATATAAGATGCAATCATTACGTTATGTATATATTTTGACATAGTCTAAACCCATTGGACAGAATATCTTTTTGACCTCATAACTACAATTTGGTTATATGTTACCTTCAGGAAGCATTTCTTTCAACAATTCAATGAAACTTTTACCTGTCACCCACCTCTTGCCTTAAGATTAAAATAGTCTTAACACAGTTGACATTCTTGTAAAACTTTGAAATCTCGGATACTACGAATCTTCTATGTCTCTTTGCAAAGTCTCTACCACAATAACTTTCTTGAAAATATCTACTCCAATATCTCAAATCATGTCTTCTAGAGTATCATTAATAAATTTATTATCTTCAACTATATGTGACAAAGGTCTCTTTTTTGCCACTTCACCATGTCATACCCATTTCGTATAGTTTTGATTAATTCCATCACAACCTAAATGATTGAATATATCTTTCTTTGGATTTTTTTGTATTAAAGCATTTTTTACAAGGACACCAAAATATTCCAATATTTTTAGGAAGTTTTTTCCAGCAAAATCACGAAATTGTAAAACTCTATTCTAATACTCTTTACTTAACCTTTTGTGTAATAACCAATTTTAATATAAGAGTCGCCACCATTAGTTTTTACCCTAGGGAAGGGAATATAACAGGTAACCCTAATTTGATCAGAGATTCTAAGTTGTTGACTCATTTTAGATGAAGGGAAGGTGTTAAGCACACTTTATCTACCTTGCTCATAAAGATACTAGGATTTAGATTCCCAATTCAGGAAGTAGGGTTTTAATTTTAATTAGGGGAACTCACCATGATTTTTAAGTCGTATGCCTATGTATCCTCTTTTGAGGAATCATAGTCCCAATTCGTAGTTCGTAGTTGTTGGTTGGTGTTTTTTATGGATTATGGAAAGATCTCGAATTCTCCTTGAACCAAGCCTAGGTGCGTGAATAGCGGAATTTGTAGATGAAGTTCGCAGTCGATAGAAGATATTTCCATAATCCTTTTTTTTTGAAAATATATAGGTTTGAATTAAGTTAGTGGAAAATTGTTAATATTTAATTGGTTAGATGTTTTCAAATATAATATGTAATATGAGAAAATATATTTATGCATGAGAAAAATATTTGATGTGATTAAAGTATTAAAAAAAAAAGAAGTTAGTATTTAGAAAAAAGTATTTTTTGATTAATAAATAACTATTAAATAATCTACCAAAAGTACATTAAATATTAAAAATATTCAATAATTTATTAATTATGCAAAATGATAAAAAAAAAGTAAATAAATAAATAAACCAATGAAGATATAAAAATAAATTAATTTTAATTAAAAACACATGGGGTGCAAAATTAATTGCATAGTAAAAGGCTGGGGGTGTAAATAACAGGGCCCTAAATCCAGATATTCGATTTAGGCCCAATTGCACGTGGGTGTTATTTTACAACAGTTTAATAAAACTTGGGGTGCAGGAATTAAGGGCCCAAGTCCAGATGTTGGACTTGGCCCAATGGCGCAGGAAGGGGTGCATGTTTGCATTGTGTTAGTAAAACAAAATGTGTTAGGGGTTGATTTAGCAATGGGCTAGGCCCAAACGCAACTGAGGAGAGTCTACTGGGTTTGGTGTGTGTGCGTATATGGAATTATGATGAGGATGTGCTGTTTGGGTTGTTTGATTGTGATCAAAGGGTCATAAAGGGAGGGCATATGGTAAAGGCGTGGGGACGCAAGCTCTGGATCGTGAAGGAGTTGTATACAACAAATCACAGGGCCTAAGGCCCATTTTATCCTTTCCTCTCTCTCTCTCTCTCTCTCTCTCTATGTTATTCCAAAATAAAACAAATTTTTAGAGAGATAAGCTCTCGCTTCTCTCTAGGCAATCAAAAATTTCCCTGCCGGCCGGAAATCGCTTCTGTCGGCGGCTTCGCCCTTAGCCACTGTAGGAACCCCCGTCCACCCCAAATCTCCAGTTGAAGCGCAACCAGGATCTTCATATGTTCATCTGCGTCGCCGCGAGATAACCCAAACCGCCATTGATCTTCATCTGGGTTCTTATGAACCTTAACAATTTCATCCACCCCTCAAGAACCCTAGGGTTCTCGTATGAACCCTAACCTTTATCCAAACCCAGAAACACAAATCTTTAACACCTTATGGTTCTCGTATAAACCCTAACCCTAATTAGGAATAACCCTAACCTAACCCTAATTTTGCAATTAAACACCAATCATGAAAACCCTAAAAGCTAAGTGGTTCCAGGCTTACCTCTCATTACCGTGATTCTCGTAGTAGTAATTTTCCTTTCTATATCTCTAGTTTTTCGGCTGATTCCTTCTTCTTTCTT